CGTCGTGAATTCAAGGTCTGCCCATGAGACAACTGTATGCTGGAGTAATGTCCATCATGTGGAAATCGATGTTGAAGATAGTGAGTCCGACTTGAATTGGCAGATTGATTTCTCCCACTACTTCTCGTTTGGATTCGTCGAAGGCTCGAACGATAGTGCTGCTTGGGCGCATGCAAGTTCCTTGAATAGTCAACTTGTCAAGTGTGCACTTGGGCATCACGTTCAAGGATGACCCGTTATCCACAATAACTTTCACGATGAGATATTCCTTGCATTTGATGGAAATATGCAAGGGCTTGTTATGGCTCGACCCCTCTGGAGGGAGTTCTTCATCTGTGAAGGTGAGGTGATCGCTAGTTGTGATGTAGCTAACGATCCTCTCAACTTTTTCCTGGGATATTATATGAGGTACGTGCGCTTCGCTCAAGACCTTCATCAGGGCATTTTTGTGCAGTTCCGAACTCATCATTAAAGATAACAAAATTATATTTATAGGTGTATGATTGAGTTGATCAATGATGGAATACTTGCTTTGCCTTATGAACTGGAGTAACTCATCAGTCTCCTCCTTGGATTCTGTATTTTCCTTCTCTTCGATCTGCTTATTTTTCCCTTTATTCTTGGGGGCATCTTCTTGTGACTCCTTGAGGGAGTATATTCTTCCGCTTCTAGTCATGCCCCCAATGCCGGCTATGTTGGAGATGTCCTTCTTTATTGGTGAAGATTCCCCGTATCTCCATGGTACAACTTTATTTGAGTCATAGGGGAAAGGACGAGGCGCAAATAATCGCAAAGGCATCCTTGCCCCCTCTTCCTTATTGACTTTGATAACCAACGACCGAGGCTTATTTCCTCTTGGGGGGAATCGACCGTTGGGGAGAGCTTGATTATGAGCAGTTTTCTCTCCATCCTTCTGATTGTGGAAGACGTATCAATTAATCCTTCCTTTTTATTATCTTATTTATTAAAAGTGAAGGAGGAATAATCAAGTATGCAAATTATGAATAAAATGCATACAAGCAGACAATTGTTAAAAGGAAATTTTATTTATTTATAAAAAGTGTACATTCCCCTACACCATGCTACGAAGCACTTTTTGACAGAAACAGAAAAGCCTAAAGAAACCCACAGGCGGGTTCTGATTTTTATGTAATTCTTCTTCGACTTCCCGTACATGATGAGCGAGTGCTTCGGTCTGCTGGTGGACCGCCTGACTCATATCTTCACTATACTTCTGAGCCTCTTTGATATTTGCCTCTTGATGGACGATCAAGGCTTGTAGATTGTCGAGTCTCTCAAGGGCTCGATCTCTTTCTTGTAGCACCTGGCCATACTGAGCTAACCTGTCTCTTTCTTTGCAACGCAGCTCAGTAAGGCTCCTATTAAGTTTCTGGGTAGTCTCCCGTCCTTGACGTATCTCAAACCGAGTCCTTGTGAGATCTTGTAGCATTCCCTTGATCGTCTGAGCCTGTTTTGCACATTCGGCCTCAAGGTGTGCTGATTTGGTGGTTATTTCTTGGAGTTGATTATCCAAGTTTAGTCTGGCAACTTTGGATGCTCGGATAATCTACTAACTGGAATCAGCGCATTGGTCCTTGAGGCGTTCTATCTCCTGATCTTTCTTCTTGCACTGCCTTTGTAGACCGTCTATAGTGAGGATAGATTCTTGCTTTTTTTCCTCAAGGGCCCTCATCTGGGCTCCCATGATTTCTATCCTCTAGGTCAAGGCATCGACTTGGCTTTGGAGCTCTCCACTGGCTGAAGGCGCAGTAGATGAGGTGGATGGTTGTGGCATCCCTCTGTTTGTCCTCCACTCCTCATAGTCACTGGAGAAAGCTACTCAAGCTTTGCCTAGCTCTCTATCTCCCATAAAAACTGGTTTCTCCCATGCTCTCCGTACAACAAGTGAGTTTGCAACATTGCATGGGTCTCCGAAGAAACACAGTCCTCCGAGCTCTTCTCATGATAATGCGGTTTGGGTTCTCATGAGTTATCTCATAGCCACTTTTGAAGAATAAGCTATGCAACCTCTGAGACTTACTAATGGTATACTCGGATAATCTCCACACCTGATGAGGATAGGGCCAGGTCGAAACCAAGGGCATGCCCAAGATAAGCGGTTGACATCCCATTGTTCTTACTCGACCTTCCACTCCATGGTTAGACGTCGGTGGAGAGGGATTCTTGAGAAGCTCTTCAAAGGGTCAGGGAACATCCCCATGTGACTTGAGGTGTAGAAATGCATGATACCCCACACAAATAGCAGTGAAGAGCAGCATCTGAGTGTTCTCCCTTGCTTTTGGTGACAAAATTTGATCAAAAGCAAGGTGTCGGCAAGAAGTGCAGGCAAGGGACTCTTCGAGTGCACGTCCCAGGCGAAGAAGGCGTCCATGACGGATTGATCCACTGTGTCGAGGTTAAAGGGAAACAACATAGTCCCAAACACGATCAAAGCCAGGGTTTTGTTAAAAGCGAACCAGATTGCCCTTTTAGCCAAAGAGGACAAATTGTCTTCTAACATTACGACTTTCCAACCCTGAATATTCTCTTTTGCTATCAGGGCAATTTGCTAAGGTGACAATCGGATAATGGTAGCGACCTTGGCTACAGGAATATATGCTTCGTGGCGAATATGGACCCCGTCTGACTTGGGTCATCTTAACATAATCTCATACTCCTCCAAAGTGGGCACCATATCAAACTGCGGAAATTCGAAGCAATGCAGACTGGAATTCCAAAAATGAACCAAAATCCTGACGAAAATGGGGTCAACACAAATCTTTAATAAGTCGAGAATCCGTCCATAGGATTTTTCAAAGTCGGAGTGGACCTCTGGTGGTATCCATGCACAGATCCATTCTATCTTCTCCACATGGTATCGGGGAATATCCATTTTCTTCAACTGTCTACTAGCCCCCTCCATTTTCTAGAAACCAAAAATGCATGCTCATGAATATAATGTTAATGCAGGCATGCATGCAAGTGTTTATTTTTCCTAAACATTATCATATTTTATTTTCTACATGATGCATGATAATTGATTTTTTGTATTTTTTCAAAAAAAAGATAAACTACCTATATGGATGTTCATGAGTTTAATGTTTATGAACAGGGTCCCATTTTTTTTATTTATTTGATTTTTATAACCTTTTATCTCTTCTGTCGGACTGCATGACTACTTAGCTTACAGGAAACCTGAAGCCAGGCTAGCTAAAAGGAAGACTGTCCGAGATAAGGGTGTTTATTGTGGAAAGATTTTTTTGAGGTATTTTTATTTATTTTTGTGTTGTATGTTTATGCTATGCAACAATCACACACAATTCACTCATTTGCAAATAGTAGGACAACTTTTTTAATCACGAAGTATGGGTATCCTGCAGAAGAGTGCATATTCAGGGTAGTTCTAAATTTCCTCACCAAGGCCAGGCCCCCAAGGTGCCCCCATTATAGGGTCCCCACTCTCCCAGCCTTCAGACCATGCATGACACTAGGGCCTAGTTAGTCTTTGGGCCAAAAGAGGAAGGTTATCACCTTGAGTGGTGGTTTCCGACCATACCGGTGGGCTCATGGCCCTCACTATGGCAAATCGTACAATGCCACCCACTCCCTATGAATATCCCACTTGCCCCCGGGTATAGGGGAAACTGTTGTGTGCAAGGGTTTGTGTACAATTTGTATTTCAAACAATTTGCATAAAATAAACATACAACAGTTATTAAAGCCAAGCAATTAAAACATGTTATAAAACAAGGAAGGGTAAAGGCGCAATTTTAAGTTTTATTTCTTAAAACTAGCCCATCACTAAATGGGATAAACTCTCTAGCTTCCCTAGTGGAGTCGCCATCTGTCGTCAAAAGAGGCAGTCGGAGCGACACGATGGTTTCGTTCAACTCGTGTTTTTAAAAGTGTGGTTTCAACGCCTTTAGGTTGTCTGATAACCAGGCTGGACCTAAGGGTGAGATTTTTGAAAGGTTCGAGGAGTCGTCACCAATGTTTTTACCAGGAACATTGGAAAAGGAAAAATAAGGCAGTGGTTTTTTAAGAAAAACCAACTTTGGTCATTACAACCAGAGTTACGTAAGGGAGTTAGTTACGTGTACGGAAGGTATTAGCTTCCCTACAACGCCCCTATAATGTCTTCTGGTTCTTTTGGTTCCTCCGGAGATTAGAATAATTTTGTTCAACTGTGGATAGGTGAATGCAAAGTTCTTTCTATTGGCCATAAATCTGCCGGAGAAGGGAGTTTGACAGACAAACTTTAATGTTAGGATCAGGGCACTTGCGCCACCTCCACTTATCATTGTTCCTACTGATTGTATTGGTCGTGTCTCGTAAACCCAACCTATGGTAGCTAATGAAGTTATCTCTAAGAGGGGTAATCGGAGGGCTCATTTCCCTTAATTTTGGACCTTGAGTATACCTAGGTTCTTGTTGAGTTTGATTTTTATGCCTCAGAGCTCACCTTTGCCTCCTTCGTAGAGGATATATGTAAAACTTATAGTGTTTGTGTTGAAACAGATATTGGATTTTTTGTTGTTGATGTGTGTTCACCTTATGATTGAGTTTACATGAAACCCCCAATAGATTCCAAGGTTTTTACAAACGTCTATGAATGTTTGTTTAAAGATTTAGTATCCTCGTTCATCTCTCTAATTTTGAGTGTGATGTGTTGTCAATTCTATATGTACCTCCTAGTCGATTGTATTCGAATAGTTGATCTTTTTAAAAGCATTTCAAATTCTCTATGACCTTCTTAATATACTTCCTGTGGTAAAGAGGTTAGTTGGACATCTTTGAATGATTCCCAACATGGATTGTTCACACTATTTTCCACCTCTTTCAAATGTTTTAAATCTTGGTTTCTTCAAAAGGTGTACACATCTCATCTCTCCATAAATGTCCAAAATGAAATAATAATAATAATAATAATAATAATAATAATAATAATAATAATAATAATAATAATAATAATAATAATAATAATAATAATAATAATAAAGAAATAAAAATGACAAGATGGAAGACACACTTAGTCCTTTCTCCTTCGCGGAATATATCCAATCCCATTTCCAGCCCTTCTCCTTCCAATATGCCACCCTTTCACAACCACCTTCCACCAATTATAGCTACCTTATTCCTAAAATTGTGCAACCCTATGAATAAAAGAATGATCTAATCATATCACATTCATCCTATAAATTCACGGATGGATAGATCGAAAGGGGAGTTTTTTCGGGGAGGAAGCGTGAAAGGATTTTTTGTTACACGAAAGAAAAGAAGGCAATTTAGAGTTGGAGCTGACACTCTAGGACACTAACCATTTCATCCAATACAAAAACTCCAAATAGGTTATTCAATAATGCTTGTGCTGTATTTCAATAATGTTGTATTGTATTCATAATGTTGTGCTTACATTGTATTGCTATGATTCATGCTTTGATTCAAGATTATGATTTTTTGTGCTCTATAATAAAAATATAACTTGATAATATCGTTCAAAAATGAAATATAATGAAAACTTGGTAAACTTAGTTTTAATAATTTTATTTTCCATTCTCTTTCTTTTTATTTCTATCACCACTTATTTGTTCCCCAATTCAAACGTTAAATGAAATTTTTGTAATCTTTAGTCATTCCTCACACACTCTCTCTCTCTCTCTCTCTCTCACACACACACACACACACACACACACACACATATATATATATATATATATATATATATATATATTTTTTTTTTCAAGTCACTATTTTCTCAAGGAGTAGGTGGCACTAAGGCAAAAGACTTAGACTTTTCAATCTTCTAGTACTTCTTCTTTTCTCAATATGCATCTTTTAATGTTTTGAATTGATGGGTGTTTTTTTTTTCTTTTGAATGTTGGTATGATCATGGTTGAAGATAATCTTCTCTTGTTAGAAACATTTCACAATGTGAAGAGACAAATGTAAAGAAAAATATGCAATAAAATGAAAATAACAAGTTTGTATGCTTATTAGATGTTAAACATGAGGTCTATCGAATACAAATGCAGATGATGTAGGAACCTTGTACAAACATACTGATGAGTCATTATATTCCCGTATTTTCTTCCCTTTCTGAACTTATTTTAATTAGTGTTTTGGGCTTTATTTAAAAAAAATTTTATAATTTTCATTCTCATATGAAACTCTGCATATAACTTGGTAATGTGAGAGTGCATGTCTGGTTCTGGCTAGGAAAGACTTGGTACTTAAGTGTGTCCATTAGTGACCCACCTCTCTTTCCTGGAAACCTACCTGGTGTACTTATTCACGGTCTACCGTTGTCTTTCTAGTAAATAATTGATTTCTTTTTAGAAATTTTTAACTCTTGGGAAATACATGAATTGTTGAATATAGTGCATTATTGAACATTCAAGGACTTGATGTTAATCTTGATGGACATGAAGCTTGTTGATTTTGATGATGATTCAAGAACACAAGACTTAGAGAGTTGAAGACTTATTCTATAGTGTAATAACTCTGTTTTAATTAGATTGAGTATGTAATTTTAGAGTTTGAGATAGCCGGTACATAGTCTGCACCTTAGAAGCTTCAAAAAGCTCAAATTTACCAAAGAGGCTCGACTTTAATCGATTAATTGGTGAAATAATCGATTAAAACAGTGAGAAAAACCATTTTCTGTATCTGCTCACTGGTTTAATCGATTAACACCCCTGTTAATCGATTAACAGGTCTTTTAATCGATTAAAACAGAGTTTTGGGGTTCTGTTGATTTTGGCTCTGTAATAATCGATTAACTCTTGATTTAATCGATTATTTTAGTCAGGTTTCGAATTTTAACTTCAAATCAACCCTATTTTCGAAAACCCTAATTCCAAGAACCCTAGTTTCGAAAATCCCAATTCCCAAACCCTAATTTCTCTACTTAAGCATCTCTATGGCACTCAGAAAAGAAGAACAACCTTTTTCAAACAAAAGTTAAGTGCTGTGAGTGCCAGAAAACTGTTTGTTGGAGGAAAAAGGGGCTTTTGGAACCTGGTGTGGGCTAGAAGCAATAAGAATCACTAAGTGGAGTTCTTAGTGGATTGTGTGCTGTGCTGTCTCTGGGGAAAGTTGTTCTTCATCTCTTGTGGATTTCAAGAGAGGTGTTTTCTTTACTTTATCTTTTCCATTGTAATCTGTTTGTAACAACTTTGATTATAGTGACAGCGTTAATCCTCTGTTTGAGTGATTAGCAACTGGACGTAGGGTCTTTTGATCCGAACCAGTATAAATCTCCTGTGTAAGATTCTATCTCTTCTCTATTTACGTTTACACAGATTTTTAATCGGTAAAATTTGGGGAAAATTTTGAAAACCTAATTTTTGTTAAGAAACCAATTCCCCCCCCCCCCCTCTTGGCTTTTGTTCGACCACGCGAACATTCCGCTGCGCGATTCTAACAAGTGGTATCAGAGCTTGCTTTGATAGTCATTCAAACTTTTCGAAAATGGCCAGACAAAATCAAACTTTTGCCGAAGGTGCGTCTATCAACAGACCCCCACTTTTTGCGGGTCAAAATTATCCTTTCGAGAAAGTAAGAATGCAAATCTTTTTAAAGTCTGTTGATAGAGGCGTTTGGGACGCTATTTTAAACGGTCCATATATTCCTAAAGTTTCTGAGAACGGTGTTGACGTTCCCAAACCTTTTTCTATATGGACTGCAGAGGAAAACAGGAAAGCACAATTTGACGTTAGGGCTAGAAATATAATTTCATCTGCTCTAACCCTTGACGAGTTTTACAGGATTTCTGTTTGTAAAAGTGCTCAGGAAATGTGGGAAATGCTAAGAGTGACCCACGAAGGTACCGACGACGTTAAGAGAGCTCGAAAGAATTCTCTAATCCAAGAATACGAGATGTTCCGAATGCAACAAGGCGAAACGATATTTGACGTTCAAAAGCGTTTCACTCATATCGTGAATCATCTCACCGGATTAGGTAAAATCTTTGACGTTGATGAATTGAATGTTAAAATTTTAAAATCTTTGGATAGGAAATGACAACCTAAGGTGACGACCATCTCGGAGTCACAAAACCTTGCCACTATGTCTATGGCGGCGCTCTTTGGAAAGCTTAGAGAGCATGAGCTTGAACTTGGAAGGCTAAATGAAGAAGAAGGACAATATCAAAAGAAGAACTTGGCCTTCAAAACCAAAATTTCCAAAGGTAAAAATAAAAAGGAAGAAGAAGACTCGGAGAACAAAGAAGAAGAATTGAGTCTAATGATAAATAAGTTCACCAAATTCATGAAAGCTAAAGGAAGGCATCCTTTCAAAGGTAAGAGAAAGTACTTCCGTAAATATAAAATGTTATGGTTGTGGTGAAGCAGGACATGTAAAGACCGAATTTCCAAATAAGAAGAACGAAGAAAACAAAAGAAAAAAAGTTCTTCAAGAAGAAAGCTTATATTTCTTGGGACAACAATGATTCAAGTTCGGAATCAAGTGACTCAGAAGTAGAAGCAAATATTTGCTTAATGGCAAATGACAACATATCTTCGGATTTTGAGGTAAGTTGATTCCGACTCATCTTCTAGTGATGATGATAATAACTATGATGAACTACAAAATGCTTACAATGAATTGTTTAGTGCCTTTAAGAACTTGAAAAATGAATATAAAGTTGTGAAGAAGAATTTAAGTAGATCCGAAAAGGAAATTGAGTCTTTAAAAACGAAAATCACATGTTTAGAAGAAAATGAATCTTTAGAAACGAAAATTGTATGTTTAGATGAGAATGATGATAGGAACTTGGCATGTGCAAATTGTAAAGAGCATGAATATGATATAGATATTCTTAACCATTTGCTAGACAAAGCCGAAAAGGAAATAGATGATCTTAAGAAGCATGAAATGGTGTTTGCTCAAAATAGTGTAAATCAACAAGTTCCTTTGAAAAAGTCTAAGAAGAAAAATAAAAGAGTATGGGTAGAAAAAGGTACTAGAGCATGTTTTATAAGTAATGCATCTTATTCTATAGCTACATCAAAAGCATGTTTTTATTGCATGAAACAAGGTCACACTTCAAATAAATGTAAAATTAAACATTTTGGTGTTCCTAAAGGTAAATATATTTGGGTTCCTATTGTTAAATAAATTATTTGTCTCTAACCCCAAGGACCCAAAAGTTATGGGGACCTAAGTTTACTATGTTCTTGTTTTGTAGGAAACTTCCAAATCTAAGAAGTCTATGTGGTATCTTGATAGTGGATGCTCAAAGCATATGACCGATGATAAATCAAAGTTTGTGAGTTTCAAAGCTAAGGAACAAGGATATGTAACTTATGGGGACAACAACAAAGGGAAGATTCTTGGAATTGGAAATATAGGTGGTGCAAATACTTTAGAGATTAAGGATGTGCTTCTTGTTGATGGACTAAAGCATAATCTCCTTAGCATAAGTCAACTATGTGACAAAGGATTTAAGGTAATTTTTGAAAGTAAATTTTGCACCATTCATTTGATAGATTCCGAAAATGTAGAATTAAAAGGCATTAGGCATAATAACATATACTTGATTGATTTAGATTGTTTACATGATTCTAGCATAACATGTTTAGTTGCTAAGGAAGAGAACCCTTGGTTATGGCATAAGAGAGCAGCTCATATAAATATGCATCATTTGAACAAATTGATTTCAAAAGACTTAGTTATTGGTTTGCCTAAGTTAAAATTTGAAAAAGATAGATTGTGTGATGCATGTCAAAAAGGTAAACAAGTAAAATCATCATTTAAATCAAAGAATGTTATTTCCACTTCAAAACCCCTAGAATTATTACATTTAGATTTATTTGGACCTTCTAGGATAAAGAGCTTTGGTGGAAATTATTATGGCCTTGTGATTGTTGATGATTTCTCTAGATATACTTGGACATTTTTCCTAACTATGAAAAGTGAAGCTTTTAAAGTCTTTAGAAAATTTGCAAAACAAATTCAAAATGAGAAAGACTTAAGAATTAAAGTTCTAAGAAGTGACCATGGTGGTGAGTTTCAAAATGAAAAGTTTGAGAGTTATTGTGAAGAAAATGGAATATTACATAACTTTTCTGCTCCTAGGACTCCCCAACAAAATGGTGTAGTTGAAAGGAAAAATAGGTCATTAGAGGAACTTGCAAGAACAATGTTAAATGAATCTAATGTTC